CACTTAATTCTTTCTTATTAATAAGCCTCGCCGCTACGGTTTTCTTAAATTTTATAACAATTTAATTCTCAAATAATGTTATCATTTTAATCAACCTCTGAGTTTCAGCACCCACCCAGGTTATGCGCAGTTACTGTATATGACAGTGATATGCGGCAGTTAGAAGAAAGTAATTTCAATATTTGAATGAAGGGGGAATCCCCCACATATCTTATGTAAATTGGTAGGACTAATGAAAGAACATTAAATATTTTGTTAAGGCAATCAAATTACTAGGACTTAGCAATTCACATTGCAAGGACATACCAATAAGGATGTTTATTTTTTGTGTGTGGCCTGTCAACAGAACATATCCTCCTTGATCTTGATATAAGAGCTGTGCAGCAGAGTCTGGGTACCAACCATCAATACACAGAGACAACAGAGAGAACATACTACAGAATCACTTCCTACAGGTAAGAGAGAAATACCTGCTGTTTGACTGCTCTACCCAGTCGATAGGTTTCGTAAATAATATATTAATTTATAAAAAAATTTGGCAATATTAATTCTGTAAGTCCATATACTACCAAGAGCTACAGTACACAAATAAGGATTCATGCATCATTCTTACAGTTGTAGGTAGAGAAATTAACAGGTGTTTAGACATATTCAACAATAGTGTACTTGTGAGACAATGAGTGAATTCTTAGTTCTACAATTTGATAAAGTAAAGATATGGCATGAATATTTTGCCCTGCAAATGATTAACAATTCTTAAGAACTTTAGCTTGAAATGATGTACAGAAATAAGTTGAAACAAGGGTCTCCTTATACAAGGATTTGGCACTCAAGAATCAATATTTCTCCTGTATCTGTATTGCGTGCAGGAGAGTCACCATGATCCGTCTTCCTACAACAGTACTGCTCTGTATTGTCTTCACACTCAGTGTGGATTCAGGTAGGAGGACCAGTATTTCCATAAAACCTTTTTTGTACTGTATATGTCTCTTTGAAGTGAAACTCGGGTGGCTTGGTCCCGGGTATGTGGGACATTATTCAAAATTCTGCAAAAACAAAATTCTGCTAAAATATCCCAAATCACATATAAGAAATTAATCACAGCAGGTTTGGTGAAAATTCTAATACAACTTATCTTGTAAATAATGATTTCCTTATCTTTCCAATTATTAAAATATTAGTAGGACATAAGTAGGAGTTGGCTTCTCCTTTTGAATATTAATAACAATTAAAAGGAGAAGGAGAAACACATACTGTACATCTTTTTAAGACAACCTAACCCATCCTTAGAGTCCATTATTGTGCATCTGTACTGTTCATGCTGTAGATCCTCAGCATTCACCTATTAAATGCAACCAGAAGTGGACATAAATCTTGTAAGTTGAACAGGACTGTATTCATCAATAATTCTCCACAGGTGAGCCTGCCCCCTAAATTGTTTCTAAAAAGGTGTCACCGTTTTGTCCTTACAAAAACACTTTCAGGTAAAACCAATCACAAACTAGAGGATTTAAAAAGAAACTCAATTTTTTATTTAATAGGTGTTCAGTACCTTATATGTTTCACCTAAAACAGTTTCAGTTCATGAAAGAGTAATTCATTGGCACAGGCAGTTTGTAAGATCTTATATTAAAGTTACAATACTGTATCTCTCTATGTCAAAATACTATTCTGATCTTTCTTTTCTTTTCCTTGTATCCCACATGTATACATACTGTACGTATACTGGAGAAATCAGAAATTTTCAGCCTGAAACATAGTCTGGCTTACTGATCTCCACATATATCAACCTGATATTTTAGCTATATACCACTGCCACTAAAACTGACTTAGTACCAATTAAATATACTCCTATACTGTAAATCACAGACAATGTGACTACACTAACCTACCTGTAACTCCTTACATCCTTTACCTAGCCTTGTACCACAAAGAAACTCCAGAAGCAAAAGATAACCATAAGCTAGATTGACATCTTTTCCATCTCTGAATGATCATCAAATTTCTATACAGTTTTCAAACTTTCACACTGTCATTGGAATTCAACTCTTAGAATACCATCTATTTTAAACCTCATTTTATCTCCTTCCTCTTTCAATTGGTCTTCACAACCACTTGTCAGATTCATATTTCATATTTCAGTCCTGATTTATCCTTCATTCTCTTCTTTGTGGCTGGGTAGTAGTAAAATCATAACCTTTCAAGCTACGTGTTTCTGAATCCATTTCAGAACCATTCCATTGCTTGACCCTGTTTCTTTTCCACAGTCTTAGGAAAAGTGTGCCAGAGATGTCCCTCAGGCTGGGTGAGCTTCCAAGACCGCTGCTTCCAACATTTTGCACAAGCCAAAATATGGGCTGATGCTGAGGTATGTAGTGTGGGGGACAGCACACTATCTGATTAAACTGATATAGATATCTGTTCACACCTCTTTTACGTGTGATCACAACTCAGTTGTGATAGTGTAATAAATAACTTAGTAAACCCTGTATTAATAGAGTGTAATATTACTTGATGATCAACCTTTTCTTTGCACATTTGTTTTGTTGTAATGAATTAAATATTCATTGTTACAGAGTGTTTAAATCACCAGGTGATTTACTCTATTGAATGTCAAGCAAGTAGAACATTTATCAAAAAAAACACAGAAATTAACTAATGTGACCTATTTGCTAATAGAGCAATGCTTTTGAGGCACTGGCACTTTGCAGTAATAACTAATAACTGTGGTGCCGACAATTAATTAAGGCTTATTCTTAAGTACAATACACATTCACTCAACTCAATAGACCACAATTAGTGATTGTTTTGTGGCCTCATCCTGACATGACAACATTCCAGCAAAACAACCTGTCCAAATACTGCCTGAGATGTGGCATCTAACACTTTGAGAGTGGTGAACAGACATAGAACAGTGCACACATGCTGATATCTACCTCTTTCTTTCCAGGTGGACTGTATCAGATATGGAGGAAACTTGGCCTCAGTCCACAGTGAAGCGGAACACAATTTTCTGTTGCAACTCATCAAGTCCAGGGGAGCAAATCCAACTTGGCTGGGAGGTAGCGACTGTGTGAAGGTATAGTATTAGTCACTACAGACTTAAAATACAAACAGGAACCACAGTACAGTGTATCATTCAGCTCCAAACATCCTTCATGTTCATGGTATATTTTTACAAATAAGGGCTTAAGAAAATGGAGAGTTGTACAAAATAGACTGGAAAAATCAATAACTAAAACAAATTGTAATTATAAAATATATGCCAAGAATATATCTGAGAGGTTTTAATAGTTAGAGGCACCTGAGATCTTTGTTCTCTGGCACAGCTCTTGGTGCAAGAGTTTCTAATCAGGTATACTGGGCTAAACAAATATTTATTAATAATAAAAAAACATACACTAAGTAAAATACAACATACAAATTACTCTATTTACAAACAAGGTGTCTCAGAGCCATACATTCTGAGCAACCAGAAAAATCCTAAATTACTACCAGGAATTCAAAATCTAACATGGTATAATACCTAAAAGACCAATGAGATACAGTATATCTGCCTTGTAAATAAAACTGAGAATGACCTACTGATGATGAATCTGTTCCCATGAATCTGGATGATCAAATCTTATTGGGACCGTTTCTCCCTATTCTAAAAAATGTTTCTTATAACCAGGAGAGACCGTTTTAAAACTAGGGTTTCTTTATAAAGGAAATCAGAGTTTCCTAAATCCACAGAATGGCAAGTTCTCTTAACAAGGTTCAAATACTTAATTAGAATCTGGTGCTGAATGGTTATCTGAGCAGATCCTCTCACCTGGTGCTCCTTTTCTTTCTCTTCCTGTTTCTTCATGGAGCTCCACTGCAACTGTGCCCCTGGCCATAATCCCACCCACCTTGCCCAGCAATGTCTTGCCTAATCTTGTTATCTTTCTCTATTCATTCTTTGTACCTCAAAGACAGAAACCAACTTCACTGATGATATTTGCTTGTCCTGTATGGGAAACAGAACAGTCTGCTCTTTATCAGTCCTAGCCACCCAGCTGGTGAGCAAGACGGTGCAGTGTCACCCTCTTTCCCTCCCATGGAAAACTTTCTCCACTCATGGCTCAAATTCACTATATCTGCCTTTGGAGGAATTTTTTCACGGCCTCTTGTCTCCATGGACCACACTCAGATGTCTTCACTCTCAACATTTGCCTCATAAGTGTGTTTAAAGCTAGAAATACAGTATCAGCTTCCCTTCAGCAGCTCCTCTACTTGACTCTAGCTCTTCACATCTTCAGCTAAGGCTACTGCCCATCTTCATTAATGAAATCTTCTGTCCCTTATTCCAATAAATCCTTTTCAGGCCTTCAAGAGTATCAAAAATACCAAAAGCTTCTGCCTCAAAAATGGTCTTTACATTATGAGTGCTGCATGTTACTGTATTTAAAGCTACCTACCATAGTCATATGTTCAAACGTGATTGTTAAGATAACTTTTATTCCTGCTGTTCCATAATGGATCGTGGTGGTACACCATGTGCTTTAAATATTGTAAGGTGTTTGGGGGTTAAAATTCTAAAATAATGAAACCATTATAATAATCGGGTTCTCATACCAACTTAAATTCTCAAGTTCACGAACACTTTCATGCTTTATAGTCAGGAAATATTACTCCAAGGCACTTAATGTAATTTCTTCATTCTATGGCACAGCTGGATAACAGTGACCATGAGGCAAACTTAGACAGCACTAACTTTTATTTCAACCAACGAATTACAAGTAACACATTTACAAGTCTTTTTAGACATCCAATGTTAAAATTCTAAAGAATTAGCATTGTTAACCAAGGACAGGCACCTTTATACTCTGGATTCCATAGGAAATTCCACAAATAAATATGTTTGCAAACTTTATTAAGAGTACGGTTCTCTTTCCATGTTCAGATATCTTGGACACAATTTGGCTTCAGGCCTTATGAAAGAGGAAAACTTTCATGGTACATTTCCACAGCATTTTATAATTTAGAGCTTCCTCTAAATTATAAAATGTGTATGTTATACCTGCAAGGAAAATGTTTGAAGCTGACTCTCAACTAAATTCTTTATTTCATTCATTTTTCCTCATTTATATCCTCTGAAGATGAGGATGATTCCTCTATCTTCTTCCTTCTTTTTGTTCTTCCACTCTTCTTGTTCCTAGTGTGTACTGTATTTATTCTGCCATGAGGCCCATTTTATCCTATGATCCATCCCCATGGAAGTTCGCTTAATAACATCACTAGGAAAACAGCCATTCACGGCTATGTATTGAGGTTCTAATATTGATGTGTCATTTAGTTTAGTCATTATTAGCAACACTCCTTTGATCATCTGTATCATCAGTAAATATTTGCTTGGTAAGAACTGAAAATGCTTTGTCAGCTGTATATCAAGCTTAAATGATAAAATGTGTATGTTATACCTGCATGGAAAATGTTTGAAGCTGACTCTTAACTAAATTCTTTATTTCATTCAATTTTCCTCATTTATATCTTCGTTGGTGTGGTGGTGCAGGAGGGCACATGGCTCTGGAGTGATGGATCCAAATGGGACTACACCAAGTGGAATCCCACTGAGCCCAACAGCTCTGGAGTTGAAAACTGTGTACACACATACTGGGGTAATAAGAATAATCTCCTTCTAATATTATTTCAAGACGCACAGTTTTATTGGTTTCAATTTTATTTAATGAAGGCATGTTAGAAAGTAAAGTGTAGGCATGGAATATGAAAAATAAAAAGGGTGAATCAGAGATATTCACAGATCAGATAAGTTCAAGACTGTGTTTAAAGATGCAGTGACAATCAAAGTGACATGTATGTAAAAACAAACATGATCAAATATTTTAATATCTCACATTAGATACGTGTCAAATTATCCTGAAGTGTAATATAATCTTCACAATCCTGAGGCAATTCCGAAGAGGCTGATCATCACCCTTTTAGTAGTTAAATAAACATTTTGTCTGCATTGCTGGATTGCTAATCCATCCACAGCATACTTGTACATATCTCCTCTGACCTAAGACCTCTGATTACTTGCATTATTAATCAGATTAATTACACAAGTTGATTGGAGATTGCAACAGGAAGTCACTAGCATAAATAGGATCTTGTGCAATGTAAGGAACACAACATGGAATTGCAGAAGACTGATATGCACCACGAACAAATGGGGTAACCAAACACCTTTGACACATGATTGTGAGAGGATTTCCCAAACATAAGTGTTTCATTGGCAGTCATATAGCCAGAACCTGTTTGCAAATCCTGCAAGTGATTAAAAAGAATCTTTTCTAGTTTTCCACGAGGCTTATGATCACAATGTGTATTCTGGAGTACCTCTGTAACCTTTATATTATTTAACTTTATGTTGTCTTTGAATATCCAGTGGCCAATTCATCCAAGTGATTCATAAAGCCAAATCCCAACAGCTGTGCAGGGATCAAAGTCACATCAACGTATACATTTTGAGACCAGAAGGAAAAACTAAATAATAGAAATCTTGAAAAAACACCCCTTAACAGTAAAGCTGACACAGCATCTGTCCAAATTTTCTACAATAACTCTGTGATCATTTACAATTATTCACCATTTGGAATGGCTAGATGAACTGCTGCAAGATTTAGCTGCATAATTGATTTCATTATGGGCCCTCTATGCCAAAGGAGAAGGGGATTAAAATACCGTAGGTCACCAAAGATCACCTTGATCCTGTGAGTATTTTCAAATCACTTTGTGGCACCACTGAGGAAGATCTCTGCCTTCAGAGACAAGGTTTTTATCAGAATTTTTAAGGCTTGTGAAGATATTGATAAATACTCATCTCTAGTCTCTCTCTTTTGTCTTTTAGGTCAGGCGAACTGGAATGACATCTCTTGCAACAATCAATATCCTTACATCTGTGCCGTGGTACCTTAAACAGGAGCTGGTCCATTGTTGTATAAAGGGACTAAAAAGAAGGATTCTCATGAAATTTTACTTAAAATTTTACTTACACTGAATTAATATTGCTTGGATGATGGGGGTACTTTCTTGCATCTTTCAGTAAATGTTACTGTATTTCTTTTTCTTTAATAAATCTTTGCTGTATACCAAGTCTTTGTTTTCTACTTGAGCATACAATATGTAAGTGGAGCAGACTGAGAGGAAATTATAAAACATTAGAAAATGAGGAATATGTAATTCTTGTCTTTTTTTAAGCAGATATTACTCTACACTGTATGTAGAATGTAAGAGTCTCTATACTCAAGCTTGTTAACATGTTTGAATTAAATGTTCGGAATAAGCGCTATGACCTAGCTATAATCATTCATGTACCCAACAGTGGTCATGTCCTCTGAAAAAACAGATTAATTATTTAAACAAGTAGATCAGATAATTATCTCAATACCTAGTGTAGTGAGGGTACATGTGCATGTCACAGTTAGTGACCTTACAATTCAGGACTTGTTTTGCTATCCTGAAAAGAGATAGCAAAAAATACTCTCATTAAATGTTCCATATACTGTATACCCAATATAAACACACAGCACCACCCTCAACATACTGTAGGTGAAGGACCTCTTGCAATAATTCCCAGATTCTTTTGATGTGTACGGCAGGACACCAACATCACTCCACATATTTTTTTTCACATAAAATAGAAGCAAAACGGTTTTAGCCAAGTCAAACTGGTCACTTTACCATAGTTTTACCAAGAAAACCACTGGAGAACATCACACATAAAATACCACTCATAAATCTTGCGGGATAAAATGTTTTACTTTCTCCCCATTAAGGGTTTTTTCTGGTAAGTCTCACCCTCAAAGTCACCCACTCCACGCACAAGCAAACAACTGGCCCTTGGTAGTATTTTTTTAAGAAAACAGCCTGGTGCCTGGCTGGAGCCCATCTGTGCTATGTATCATTAAATGTGCAGCATAGATACAATTTGACAATGTCTCTTATCATAGGGCCCTCTTTAGCCACATTGCTCTGCATTCAGAGAGAGGAACCAGGCCTCTTTGTCAAGGCACACAAATAACACTTTATTCTAAGTGAAATAATAGGCCTTGACCCAACAGAAACCCCAGATCATTCGAAGAATTAAATTATCTCTCCCTTTACACCTAACATAAAAAACAAGTTCAAATTAGCAGTAAGTTGGAAACTACTTTGTTACTTAATGTGGACAAAACAAAAGTTGTGTTACAGAATGCTATTGAGGTTCATTAATAGAAACTTGCAAGGAGGAATGGAAAGACTTTATGCAAGAATAGTAAGGGTTTAGGACCATGTAAACTTATAGACTAGGTGTTCCAAAAAAACATCCTTTTGGGGAGCAATGCAAAATTAAAATCTTCAAGATTTATTTTCAACACTAAAAAGTGCTTACAAAGTCTTTTACAAAAAGGAAATTCCCTTACATTTAAACCATTAATATAAATGCTGGCTACACATTTGATATCAGTAACCACAGAAGAAATATAATAACCATAACCACATACAGTAAAGATTATTAAAACTTAATTAAAACAGACTCACAGTTTTGAACTGAAGTGAGGAGAATGAGCATGAAACAGCCTTCACAGAAAATAGCAAAAGAGGCCGTACCATAGAGGTGTAATAATTCAGCAAAAATATTTTTCTCTTATTCTTTCAAAACTGCTTAGCTAAAGTTCATTATCTGACATTTCTCTTTAATGGTTCAACGTCTACTGATTGACAAGACTTTGTCACTCTAGGGGTTTCAGTTCTGAAGTTGGGTTTGTAAAGTCTGGTGTTCCTCGGGGCTCTATACTGGGGCCCCTACTATTCAGCATTTACATGTTCCCATGCTATTCAGCTATTAAGATCACATGGTCTGAATTATCATTGCTTTGCTGATGATACACAAATCTATATCCATTCAAAGCCTGAGATCAGGGTGGCTGTCTCTGCTCTAATTTCATCTCTGACATCAAAACCTTGATGACTCAAAATTTTCTTGATTTTAATTGTGAAAAGACTGAAGTCATTCTTCCCGGCACACCCAATCAACTAAAGCTGACACAGTTACCCCAACTGTTGATGTCACTTTTCTTGAATTTCAATGGCAATTGAAGAATGATATTTGATCCTGGCTTAACATTTGTCCCACATGTGCAAGATATTGTAAAAACATCATTCATCTCAATAATATTGCAAGTCTATGTCCTATGTTGACTCTGTCATATGGATATTCAGTACGAGTTGATTAATTTGCATGGTGATAATGATAACCCATTTTTCACTGTGCTGTTTGGAGTACTTTTTACCCTTTTCTGTGAGAAGATCTTGATTGCATTAGGGCAGTACATAAAACATGCCAAATCCTTCCCTTGACTTAGCCAACAAATATTGCTATGAAGTTCAATATCCTTGTATGCACTGTATGCATCTCCTGAAAGAAAGTCTTAAACAGCCTGTACATTAAGGCAATTCGAACAACAAAGAATTTCACTATTCTTTGACTTCACCGGAGTCATCACATTATTAAGGTCATAATTCTAAATCATGGCACTAGGAGATCCCTGATGAATAATACAATGAAAATTTAAGGTGAGATGTATCAATGTGATCCACTTTGGTCTTTGCAAATCCTTTCTGTTTTCTGACCATAGCAGGGACACCGTCAGTCAACACAGAAAATATGCTCTTGATGTAAATTCCTCTTTCCACAAAATAATGAATAAACATCTTAGCTATATCTTTCCCTGTAGTTGTGTCATACGTGGGTTTAGGCAGCAAAGCTCTTCTTGAATTCACTCTGTGATTTTGTAACTTGCTTCTGTGGCTTGATTTTTACTTACTAGAGCCTCAGCCTTGTCCACCTCATCCTTGATGTGTTTGTTATGTTTTGCCTGAAAATGTCATTGGGACACTTGATGTGCATCAAACAACTCTCTCACTACATAGAGCACACACAGCACTGTATCTATGTGGACCACATCTACATTTATCTCTCATAAAATGTTATCGTTTGTTGTGAAAATGTTGTGAGCTTTCCGGTGAAAACATTATTCTAGAGCTGCTAAACATAATGCACTAAATAAGTGAATAGTTTTTTTTTCTACACCAAAGACCTTCCTTTGGGTAACATGTTAAAGAGAATTACAGAACATTCAGGCATAGTTTAATATTTTGTAACTTAATTTCTTCATTATTAGACATTTATCACACGTTCTGTTAAAAATTCATGCCAATAATATCCAGATGCCATAGGTTCCAGATCCATATAATATAGGTGTTCAGCTGGCAGAAAAAGCTTAAAATCTTCCTCCATTAAAACGTAACTTTGATCTTTATGGAATGCCTGGGAAAATGGTTACTACTTATAATTGATTAATCTACAGGAATCTATTAAATCATTTTGCATTCCTGACTTTGGATGACTTGAGTGAGTACTACCTGATGTAAATATATCTAGTTCAGGATATGGAGTTCATGATTTTAGTTTTATGAGATTTTCATTTATGTAGGTTTTTTATTTTTGTATGTCGGGCAGATGATAATAAAGAATACTGTTCTGAACAGACTTTTTTACCGGCAGATATTATAGCTGTCTTCTTGGTGATGAATGAGCCTGAGGGAAGGCCAGGTCATTTGCATTTTTGCACTCCCTTTGGCTGCTTGCTTCAAATCCAATGAAGGTATATTTTTTCATCTTGTACACTTAGGTAGCTTTTAAAAATGTCCACCCTTTGCTTGTACTCATCATCTGTAAATTATAATGTGAAAATTACTAGACTTCACATAATCAAAATGTACCCGGTGTACCCTCATGAACAGTGGATTTGAAAGTTCTGTACACCCTTATTGGATAGGATAGAAGGCCTATGCCCTCAGGCTAGCTCCAGGCCTGAACTAAGAACTGCGGAGACACTAGACTTTTAAACCAACATACAAATTAGAGACACCAGGAAATAAAAGCACCCAATCAATAACAGAAAAGGGCAGCAGTGCCCTCTAGAGTAGTGATGTGGAACGTAACAACAGCAGTGATACAAACTTTCAGAAAAACATGACCAAGGAGAAAATGAGAAAAGAACAGAGGATTACTATAAAAACTACACCAAAGACTTGCTCGCATTACAAATACTCTGCATTATTGCATGAGAATGATTACCTTTTATTTAAACTTTGAGATTAATGTCAGTATAGTACTGACAAAAATATTGATGAACACAACCCTTCCAGAATGTCAACAGGGATAGAAACGCTCATAAAAGGATACTTTGAGGACCTGTCATTATAAGAATAATGTTATTTGAATTTGAGCAAAATTCCAGTTATTCAAGGCTGATAGCAATTTCAGGAGTGCACCAACAGAGCCTGGGAAAATCATAAGTATTTAAAGCACAAAGAAAAAAATGAAAATATCGGAAAAAAGACATTGCAATGTAGACAAGGGACACATGAGGGACACAACTGGCCTGAAGAAACAAATTGAAAGTTTTGAAGTTTTTGCATGACAAAATGGGAAACTTGGGAATATATTGTACAATATCATTGGTGAGATTGACCACACATTCACTGAGATGTACTGTAGGAGACAAATATCATTTTTTGTCATATCCTTTTATGATTGTTTCTGTCCCTGTAGACACCACTTGTCTGAAATAGAAGAAACCTTGTCAGGTAACCCATGTACCACTAACCGGCACTGTGACAACCCAGTCTTTTGAGTTTTGCCTTCTAAATAAATGTGATACAACCTGTAGTTAAATCTCTATCTGTACCCCGGATTCCACAAAATAAATGGGAGCCTATTAAAAAATTCAAAAATGCCTATTAAAAAGCCTATTGAAAAATGTTCCCAAAGCAGGAAAGGCATTTGTAGCTGAGGTACCTTTACCCGGGAAACCCAAGTTCCCTAAAAACACAGAATAGCAAGCTCTCTCTAACAAGCTTCAAATTCTTCACACTAATCAGGTTTTGTTTAGATCATCGT